GAGCTAGGAGAGAGGCGGGCCTTTTAAACAACTGAGGGTGACAAGTTTCCTAATAAAAGGGGTGGAGCCTATCTCTCGCAAGCTGTTCTGGAGGACGAAAGGGAAAGTGCTTTTTATTTCTAGGACCTGGTCGCTGGCTCGGAAGTGCTTCTCATTGGTTAGCGTGGTCAGGTGCCAGTGCTGACCAATGAGAAGAACTTCTGAGTTGGGGACTAGGGTCCTGGAAGCAAAATAAAGTTTATTAAATGGTCAGCGTGGTCATGTGACAGTGCTGACCAATGAGTGCTCACCATTTGCAAGCCTTATGGACATTACATACTGCGGGGTTGTGAAGAGCAGCGCACAGACCGTACACACTGGCTGCTGAGGGCACCACACAGGTATATGCAACAGGGACCGGGAGAGGTGGTGAACTTCCCCTTTAAGCTCTCTAAAGCCGGATATACACATTTTCTTTGTTCAACCTGCGGTCCGAAGAACATATATAAGATTCCTCCATCAATGCTTACGAGCATTGATCAAGGAATCCCATTCTGTTTCTACTGCGTTCTGACAGCAGCAGCCAACTTCTGTCAGAATACCTGAACGGCACTTGCAGCTGATTGAATAATGCTTGGCCAAATGGAGCTTGCAGCCAACCTGCTTCTTCAATAAGCTGATCAAGGGACAGCGGCACCCACTGTGCGGATTTCGGCTGTTCATCGGGAACCGGCCAAAATTTGTATATACTCCACTTTAGACAGTTGCCACTAGAACAGTGCTTCTCAACCTGCGTAACCTCAGGACCCACATTTGACCTTGGTCAATAATCACCCAAGTCGCACCGCACAGGGCTGCACAACATTGCGGCACTGCACGTTCCGGTGCAGGTGATAGAACTGTGGATGGGAGGTGTGTTTGGGGTGCCATTCAAATGAACGGTAGCCATAGCCCCATCCCACCTCAAGCTGACACTCGGCGCCAGGCAGCATATCTTGAATGGCTGCTTGGCATGAGAACGGACAGTGCTGTACTATGGGGAGGCAGAGGAGCCTCTCACCTAGAAAAGTGGAAGGCATGCAGTGACCCACTGAACACGGGGGGGGGGGGGGGGTCGCGGCCCACTTTTGGGTCACGACCCACCAGTTGAGAACCAAGGCACTAGAACAAAGTGTTCCCACCGGAAGACGTCCCCTCGACTCCTGCTCTTGCAAAAAGTAAACATTTGGGATTTCCCCCTCACTCTCAGTTCCAGTGGGCACCGGGACAAACCAAGAGAAGGAATCTCCCAAACGAGAACACAGAGATTAAAATCTGAAAAGGGTCAGATAGGTACGTGTTATAGGGGGTTACTTCCACGACTATCTCTAGCGGTATGCACAACAGGTTAAGGTGTGGTGCTTTCAGACAAGATTCACCCTTCACCCTGAGACGGGGAATGCAGATTTCTGCAAATCATCTGCTCAGAGTCAGCCAGGCCTACAACCCGTGTGAATCATACGTGACCTTTATCAAAGGAGAGGCGTGACTGCTCTAGGTGTAGATTATAGTGCAGGAGACACAAACATTGCCGAAGACAAATCACTCAAAACTGTAGTTCCTCTTTAAAATAAATAAATCTCAGACACCTCATTTTTTACCAATACCCCCCTAGAACGACAACTGGTTTATCCTTGGTCGCTGTCGGGTGTCCTACATACTCCTCTCCCACGTCTTCCCCCCCATATCAAGCGAAATATACTTTTAAGAGATACCATCATAACCTGGCGGGAAATAAGGAAATTGTACAAACTACCAGGAGTGACTTCCCCACTCATGCCTATTACCTCCACCCCTGCATTCCCGGCCGGACATGACTCCCTGGTATATCGCCAATGGCAAAACCGTGGCATTAGAACCCTACAAGACCTACTCACACCCCAGGGAAAATGTAAATCCTTGAGGGAACTACAAGGGGAATACAATATTTCAATCCACCACTTTCTCCAACATGCCCAAGTACAACATTTTATTAGTCATAATCTTCCACCATCATGCACAGGCCCCAATTTGATGCTGATGAATCAACTATTGGCCTCCCCGACTCAGAAGATGCCTCTCTCCTCCATTCACCGTCATCTATACTACGGTGTATCCTCTGTCACAACGTCCACCCCCCCATATGCCTTAAAATGGGCAGCTCTTCTGCAAATATCACCGAAATCTGCCCAATCGGTCATTTTGAAAGGTTGGATGCAATTAAGACGGGCAGTGGTATGTGAAGCGTGGAGGGAAATTCAATTTAACCCCTTCGTGACTGACGACGTACAGTGTACGTCGCCAGCATCGGGGCTGTTTAAACAGACTCCCGGCGACTTTTGCCGCCGGGAGTCTGTTTAAACTTGTAGAGCCGACTGTCGGCTTTACAACAGAAGCGATCCTGGCGACTTACCTGTCGCCAGATCGCTTCTGCGTCCCGAAGAAGGGGCCGCCCCCCCCCTCCCGGACACCCTCGCCGTGCTTCCCG